TCCATGCTTTCTCTGGTAGGAGGGCGTTTGCTTGAGTAGGGCACAGGGGAGTGAGAGCCCACACCTTCTTCTGCTAGCTGCAATAGGTGGAAAGTCCTCAGACCTCCTTCTTTGCAGCTGTGATACCAAATTCCCAACCTGGAGTTCAGGGGACACCCAGGCCCATTTCCAAACAACACATTTTGTTGACTATAATTGGATTCTCTTGTCTCCAAGAATACACATTTCTGTTTCAGTGGATCTCTTATCCCTTTACCAAAACACAAGGGTACCTGTCATGGTTTATGACTGTGTCCCCCAGGCCTCATGAGTTTGCATTGTGCATTTGTGATTGGTTCATTGTCTAGTGCTTGGATTGATGGTGTCAGTGCTCCGCCCACATAGGGGTGGAGCCAGCATACAATGTAATGGCAGGAAGAAGGCGTGTCTTGCTCTTTGCTGGTTCCTGTTTGCTGTTTGCAGCCGCCATGAACTGCGGCCCAGGCATGCCCGCCCGCCTTGGAGCCAACTGAGTGTGGACTGAAACCTCCAAAAACTGTAAGAAATAAACCTTTCCTTTCCCAACTTGGGCTTCAGGTATTTTGTCTCAGCAATGAGTAAAAAGTAACTAAGGCAGTACCTTAGACATTTGGGGATGATAGTGTATTTTCACATAATAAGTTGGACTTCGGCTAATATATACATTTGGGGGGGACTTTGAACCGTTACAGAGGAATTAATGTTCATCTCCACTGAGTTGCAAACGTGATATTCTTTTACATTGCTGTGTTAATAAGAATAGTATAATCATATTATCAGTCAATACTTGGTCCACGTCTAGTTTCTTGATTGGCCTGATTTCTACATGCAAACTTCACTTCTTTCCCTAGGATAATACAATGTACATCCCATAATCCAGACTTTTACTTCTCTTTAGTCAACCCCAACTCACTCAGTTCTGTTCTCTTGCTTTTCTGAAACATCCTACACTTGGCTCCACTGACCCCTCTGCCTTCTGTCTGCACAGCTGAGCTATGGCCATGGTTGGTGCAAAGTCCACCAATTATGCAGAGGACTTGATTTCCAGCCACATTTCCAACTCTGTCCAGGTGTGTGTCCTAATCAGTCCTCTTCTCTGTTAGCTGCAGCTCTGTTCCAGCTTTTTCCTGCTTTTATTAAAATTTCCACCACACGTATCTCTTCTACCCCATGGAGAAGCACCTATCTTCAGTACAAAATAGAAGCCGCCGTCTGAGAATTCTTCCACTGCACCTGGACCACCTCTATGCTAACCCATTTACACTCAGCTTCTTCTTTCTTAACCATCGCAATGGTTTTCCTCTTCCCAAAGGCAAACCAACCTAGAATTTATTCTCTATCACTTTCTCCTTGTTATGCAACTTAATTCAACCAGCCCAAATTTCTGCTCTCTTGAGCATCCGTTAAATGTCTGGCTCTCCGCTGTGGCCTCATGTGGCTTCCTCGCACAGTGTCATCCTCCTTGAAAGACATCTCTGGATTCACTGCCTCTGTTTCACTTGCTTTTGGTTCTTTAGTCTGTGCCCAAGTGGCCTCACTTCCAAATTGATTTCGTCTTATCAACGATTTCCTTTTCATTAGACCAAAAGAATATTTTTTTTTGGTCATCGTCTTAGTGGAATTCAGAAATAAAGATTCCTGATCTGTTGAAACTTTCTCCTGCTTTGGTTTTAAGAATGTGACCCTCTCCTAGTTTTCTGCCTGGGTTTCCAGCTACCATTTTTCTCTGCTGATATCCTTTGTAAGAGGTTTTTAGGTCATTAAGGAAGTGACCTCAGTGAGGATGTGGGACTCTAATCCTCTTCCACTCCGCTCCCCTGCCCCCTTTCCCCTCTCCTCTCCTTCTCTCCCCTCCTTTCTGTCTTGTGCCCTCTCTCACCCTCCTTTCCTGCCCCCTCATCTTCTTTCTTTCTTCCTTCCTCCTCCCTAGTTTGAGACAATCACTGGGTAACTGACGAGGCTGTGCTATGGTTGTTGTTTGGACTTTGAACTTCCAAAACTTTGAGTTAAATCAAACTTTGCTTTTCATAAATAGCCTATTTCAGCCAGGCATGGTGGTGCATGCCTGTAATGCCAGCTCTTGTGAGGCCGAGGCAGGAGGAGGATCATTGTGAGCTGAAGACCAGCCTGAGCTACAAAGCAAGTTCAAGTCCAGCCTGAACTGCACAGTGAGATCCTGTCTCAAAAAGCCCAAAAAAGAAACACGCACACACACAACAACAACAACAACAACAAAGCAAAGCAAAACAAAATAAAACAAAACAAAACATCCAAAAAACAAAAAATCTGTTTCAGGTATTTTGTGATTGCGTGATAGTTAACCTTGAGTGCCAGAGTGACCGGGCACTTCCAGATGAGTCTGTGGAGGTGCTGGCAGAGCTGACTGACTTTAGGCCAGTACAGTGAAGGGAGGAAGACCCACCCTGATTGTGTGCGTGGGGCCACCCAATAGGCTTGGCCCCTGGATGGTACAAAAGGGGAAGGAGGAGGAAGTCTGTTTATATGCTTGAGTGGGTGGATCTCCTGCTGCTGCAATTACCTGTGGATGTCAGACTCCCACTTCTAAGCTTCTCAGTGCAGAATCACAGCACAGAATCCCCAGGAAGGTTCTAGTGCTTCAGTCTCAAACCATTGTTGCATCCTTGATTCCTCTTGTTCTGAGGCTTCCAGCTTCTTGGCCCGAGCAGCTGTTGGATCCTGTAGTACTCCAGGTGCAGATGGCTCTTGTAGAATATGTCCCCTCTGATCTTGTTAAATCCCCTTTCATATATATATATATATATATATATATATATATATATATATTCTCCTAGAAAAATCTAGGGAATGTGGATAGAAAGCTAATGTACCTACTTTAATCTCTTCACTTCTGTCTTAACTCTCTTAGTCAAGGCCACTCTGCCTCTTGTCTGAGTTAATGTAATGTGCCCTCAAGTCATTCCTGTTCCTCCTCCTACCCTGTCTTTCTTTATACACCAGGTCTCATATGTTTGCTTACTCAGCATCTTTCTTTGCATTCTTGTTTCCATAGAATAAGAACGTGATAGAATAATTCATCAAACTAATTCATAAAAATTTACTGGGCTGCCTTACCCATGTCCTTGTCACTTACTGGGCATCACAGCTCGTCATGTTCCTAAAACACGACGCTACCTAGCTTAAGAAGTCTTCAGTAGTACTCCCATGTTTTAAAGATGAGTTCATACTTTTCAACATAATGAGATCTTTCCTTCTGTTAGGTATTGAATTATCCCCTCGAAATGCATACATTGAAGTCCTGATCCCCAGCATCTCAAAATGTGGCCTTATTTGGAAATAGGCTTTACAGGATTAATAAAATCAAAATGCAGCCTTTAGGTGAGCCCTAATCCAATATGCTTACAAATGGGAAATTTGGGCCCGGAGCCAGACATGCGCAGAGGGAGAACAGTGTGAAGGTAGAGGGAAGTTATGCTCATGGGCAGCCACCTATGAGAGAAGCCTGGAATAGACCCTTCCCGCACCACCCTCAGAGAGGAGGAGTCAGTCTTGTGACACAGTTTTCAAACTTCCAGCCTCCAGACCTGGGAGATAATACATTTCTGTTGTTTCAATCACCAGTTTTATGTTACTTTATTTTGACTGCTCTAGCAAACTAACACAGCTCCCAATTTTTTCTTTTTTCTCTTCTACATTTCTGCCCTAACATCCATCCCTGCCCCTTTGTTCTACTCCAACTCTCCAGAACTTCTGACAGTCCCTGAACAGGGACAGACCCAATACCCCATGTTCTCTGCAAAGGTTGATCCCTTACCTGGAATGCTTCTATTTCTGGCAGTTTGTATACCTAACACCTTGCTCTGTGGTCTTTTTCTCTTAAAGTTCTTCCTGCCACGACTACTAAATGGCTTTCCAATACCTTGCAGAATGTATTTATCAAATGGTACCACGTTTCCCATTGTTTCTATCCTCATTAGATGGCAAGAATTTTGAACCCTTGGATTATGTAGTACAAATTTGTTTCTGTCTTTTTAGGAGCCACTTCCTGTCCCAATAATAGCACTCTTATTTTTCTCTCTTCTGGTAGTGCATAAAATTCATTGATCACACTACTTAGTTCAGAGCCATGTGGGGCATCCAGGCACTTTAAATGCATTTGCACCTCCCTTTCATGACTACAAAGATGGAGTTAGGGATGGTGATGACCGGTGAAGACCACTGAAAGCCTGCGTGCATTTTCTGCCGAGATTTTTAGGGGTGAGAGACCTACTGGTGTTACATATGGGGCTCCTGGCACCTGTGACCTTGATGCTTAATCGATGGATAAAGCCACCAGACAGTGAAACCTCGGGATGACAAAACCGTAAAAGACCAATTCTCATCTAAACCAGAGTTTAGGATTAGTCCAGAGGTCAGGTCATGCTACCACAGTTCTTCTTCCTTGTGGATTACATATTCACCAAAGAGAAAATTATAAGCAAGATTATATTTAAGATGCAAAAGCAAGTAAAAATTAAATTCTACTTGGGGAAGTTACACATGTCTAATAGGTCATATCAGTGCCCAATTTATGCAACACATTATTTTATTGTTTATTTGCTACATGGATGAAAACATTGAGTTGGCTAAGGTTTGTGCATGTATATTTTAACGTAGCTTGAAAAATCAGTTTTGCAAAGGTGCTCTATTGTATTTGTGTGATGAGTGTAAACACAGGCAGGGTGTGCAGTGCTTAAGATCAGGGGGTTTGGAGGTGGGAAAATCAGGCTTGGCTCTGTTGTTTTGCAAGTTAGTTTCTTAGACAACTGACTTCACCTCTGAACCTATTTCTTCATTTGCAAAACAAGGATAATACTGGCACCCCTTGTGAGATAAAAGGAAATGATGCTATGCTACATCTAAAGAATATAGCTCATAGTCTGAGTATATAAGTCAAGAAAGAGAAAGTTTTACATCTGTTTAAAATAAACATTTTATTTAAAAATATATGCATTTTCTTTAAAAAAAAAAAAAACAAAACAAAACGAACACATGCCAACTTTGGTATTAAAGCCACTGCTTCTTTGCTTTTCCCAGTATTCCACAATTATTTCTTTCCATGTGGAGTTCAGCAATGAGTTCGGCATGAACACACACCACACAGGTCCCCGCAGAGTGCATGCTCATTCCTCAGTTCTTTACAAAGTGCCTATCTGTGTTTCATTGAGAGAGGATTTTAAGCACCCAGCAATGTATTGCCCTGGTTCCTCACTGTAAGGCCACAGGAACCGAACTCTGGGGAGCAGTGTGGGTCTTGTTCCTTTGGAAAACGTTTAAATAGCTTCCATAATCCTCACTGCTGTATTCCTATTCCATACACACCCCAAATAGTCAAGCCACCTACCGGAAACGCACCCCACCAGTGTCTAACTGTCCATGATCGAAGTAGGTTGTGACATAAGCACAGGAGACCTCCGGGAGGTTGTTTGTACTAATCTATAGGGGAACTCTGATCCTGATCAGAAGGAAATCTACTCATAGATTATTGAACCCAGTGATTTCTAGCCCTCCATATCTTGAAATCACCTCCCCATGGCTAGCTTCAACCTAATCAGGACTTCTTAACACAACTAGCTCTTGGCACTAAAGGACCATCTTGTTCTAAGACCTGGACTCTGTGGGTCTACTGTCTGTCTAATCAAGCATCAGCAATATCAGCGTCTGAGCAACCTGCTGGTTTATAATTAGAGTCATGGGAAAATGAAAACCTTAGATTTCTTCCACTTCAAGTTTTTTCATTCTGACAGCAAACCAGGTCCTGGCATTTGTGGACTTCTCCTGTGAGGAATGCAACAAAAGGCTGAAAAGGAGGACGGAGGCCAAATTGTCTTCACCTTCTGGAGTTTTCTCCTAAGGGAGGGAGACTCGTGTGGATATCTCATGTCCCTCCACCCCAGGAAGTGATTCTTTTGTCTAGAGAACTCGTTATGATGACAGAGGCTAGGGTAGAACAAAAAATGTTTTCTCTACATTTCCCTTATTTCCAAAGGGCTTTTGTATCTGGAAATCAAAACAAATGTTAAGATTCTCCCATGTTTTAAATGGTGGGAGATATAGAATTCCAAGTGATAAGCTGCTATTTGACCATAAGAAAAAAGACAAGAATCTTCCCAGGGGAGACAACCTTCAGCTAAAAGGGGCCCTCTACTCTCTCTCCCGTCTGGAAAAGTAGGCCCATTTTTAGCATGGCTGAAATGTTTCCCATCTGAAGGTTGAGAGATTCCCAGTGTTCTTGCTTTAAGGATTACAACTCCTTTATCATTCCATAGCTGAATAATCTGTGCTGAATCAATTTGCTACTGGAGCTCTGGTGGTATCTGTGCATTACACACTGTAGGCATCAAATAATTATTCAGTGGGTGAGTAAATATGATCTAGGAGTTTGTAGCCAGGCCAGCTCTACAAGAGCTGAGTAGATTTAAAGTAGTTTTTAAAAGAACTCTTTTGAGCACTTAGGATAGGAGTTTTTGTTTTTTACAAGATTGAAAATAAATGTTTTTAAACAGAAAAAGGTTTCCATTGATTACTTACGTGTAGGCTGTTTGGCTTTCCGCATGTACCACTACAATCATCGCATTGTTAAGAATGACTGCACCTTTACAAGTTTGGAATTCACATTTTATGATGTGACGTCTTAGCTCAGTGACGGTGAACCTATGGTGCACGTGTTATTGTGTTTTTCTCTTAAGACAAAAGATGTTAATTGATGAGTTATTATTCCTAACTAAACACCTCAATATTCAGCTTTAACTACATTGTTGGCGTGTTGCTCTATAGAAAGGGTTTGGGGGTGCAGTTTGGCACTTGGTCTCTAAAAGGTTTGCATCACTGTCTTAGCTGAACTGAGAAGTTCATCGTTTAGGAAGTTGGGTCCTTCTGTTCTTTCTCTTCCTCTTTATCTCTCTTTCCTTCCTTCCTCCTTCCTTTCTCCCTTCCCTCCTTCTTTCTTGCTTTTTTCTTTTCTCTTTCCTTTCTCCTTCTTTTCTTCTCAACCTTTCTTTGTTCTTTTCTTCCTCCTTCTCTCTCTCACCCTCTCTACCCCTATGACAGAACATATGCTCTCTCTAACATTGCTAGGAGCTACTAATGAGCACAGGCTTAGAGACAATGCTTGCACAGATGAATTTTCTGGCTGCATGGATACACGGTCTGCTAGGCTAGAGCAACATTAAAAATGGCTACACAGATCTGCATATCTGCATCATCATGAGGATTTCAAGGGTCTTACCTACATGTGATTATCTTTAGGGACATTAAACTTGCATGTGGCCATCTTTTTGCCCACCTTTTAGTCATGCCTAATTTGTCACCACAAAAGAGGTCAGAAATAAATAAGAATGTAAAGTAAAAATCTCCAGCAGCAAACTGATGAATTAACATGAATTACTGATCACCTGATTCACTGGGACCACGTGTCTTCATTGGTTGCCTCCAAAATATCTCCCGTTTTCTCCCTCAATCTCTCATCAGAGCTATGCAGGGTGACTATGGTCTGGAGAGACCAAGGGAGAAGGCTAAGATCAATTATCCGGGGGTCTGCTCTCTTAACTCTGTAGCCTGTCTTCTGTGAGGCTTGTATATTAGACTTGGATAAAAATATCCTAGTGAAAAGCCATAATTTAGCCAAGTACAGAGGCCTCCTAACCAGTTCTAATCCCTCAGACAGAAATTTCCAAGGCACCAAATCATTAACACTGAGACTAAGATCTCAGAATAGGGACACCGTGTGAGATCGTTTCCCAAAGGAAGTAACAGGGGGAAATAACATACAAATAGCACAATGTGGCACCTGAAAAGTGTGCTTATAGCAAGCTTTGTCAGGACTTCAATCAAACATCACATCTGAGGAATAAACCAAGCATGGAATGTGACATTAAAGGTCTCTTCCCCATTGCTTCGTCTTCATGGTGATTTTTTTTCCCCTCTAGATTTTTGGCTCTGACATAGAAGCAAAAAAAAAAAAAAAAAAAAAAATTTTTTTTATCATGCAGATTGTTTCAAGCATAGTGAAGATCAAGGAATGTTAAGCAATTTGCATATTCCTTTATCAAATTCTTCTACAAGAGACAGTATTACCATTGACAGGAACTAATGGTGAAATCATTCTCTTTTCACATCATATCACGGTCAGGAGGAGCCTGTTCACGGCAAGCAAGTGGCTGTGAGTCATTGGGCTGGAGCCCTTAGTCATATACTCAGAGAGGCAACGTGTGGTCTGGTTGGTTAATCAGAAACTCGGAGTGAGAAAGGTCAGAGATCATTCACAGCAGTTTGAGGGTTAAAGGCCTTTGGTACAGAACTCTGTAACACTGATTTTCAAGACGCAGGCACACACACACACACACATGAATATGTATGCATACATATGTATGTGTATACATGTATACACACTTACAACATGCACATGTCTTATAGATCAATGCGTCCATCCCCTGAATAAGATCCGGCAGCTTTCAGAGTAGCAGTCACCAAAACCACTCTATGTTCACATCTTTTTACAAGCTAACAATAACAATGGAATGACTTCTAAATTTCTGGTTATCAAAAAGAGAACTTCTAAAATCACAACATTTTTGATTATTTTTTCTATAAGTGCACAGTGAACAACTTTTTTTTTTTTTTACAAAAGAAGAAAACAGTGCCTCAGTGACTTAAATTAAAAACAAAAACAGCAATAGCTATTTCTACACATGCAACACTATACAAATGGTGTATTGGAGCCACAGTGAGCCTTAGAGACAGCCCTACAAAGTTTTCCCCAACTCCCTTCTAAAACACAAAAGGTGATGAGGAATGCTCATTTGATCATGGTCTGTTTTTTTCTTCTGCTACTTTCAATGTACAATTGTGCTTTCTTAACGCCCAAACCTGAAATACACTCCCTCTTGTAAATATCATCAATATTTATAATGAATTTCCATACCACAAACCCACAATATAGTGATTTCCAATTTCCCCCAGAGGAACAAAAATCAAAGATTGCTTATAAACCAAATGAGAGTAGAAAAAGCTTTGTGACCCAAGAACCAGGTCACTAGTTTCTTCCTAAGGAATTTCTTGTGACTTTCTTTGGCCATGAATTGTAGATAAGAGGAGGGAATTCTGCAGGAGAAGTTGGACTTTCAACTTGCTAGAAAACACTGCTTTATCAGAAGTATGACCGCTTGTTAGAAGTCCTCCTCTCTCAAGGCTGGGACAAAAACATTGTCAAAAGAAGGGCAAAAAAGGATTGCTATTTGGAAAAACAGAAAAAGAAAGATATACTAAGGTGAAACCCCTCATTCCATAATCAAGAAACAAAAGAAGTTGAACCTCTATAAATAACAATCCTGTGATAGTATGATATTTATCTACAAGATATGCAAGTCAATATTATTCTTTAGTCCTATCTGAAGTATCCCTGATTCAGCTTCTTCTGCCTCAAGATATCTTTAAGTCTGTTTATCTTTAGTCTTTGGATTTAAAGGGGATTGTTCTAGAGAATGTAAGGTATTTCCTTTTATCTCAGGAAGTTTTCCTATTCAAGGTTCTCATCTATTACTCAATGCTTATCCAAATGGAGATGGTGGTAATATCTGGGCTACTGACTAAAAAAGGAATCATGCAAGTTAGTTGCTATGAGTGGCTACAAAGTCCTGACTTGGAATCACTCTAATGGGGCACGGAGGGACATCAAATCGAATTTACTTGTCTAGGAATGCATTGGTTCTGCCCCTTTACCCTGCATTATGGACTCCCTAACTGAAGCTGGACCTGGCTGCTGTTTTGAAAGACAGATAATAAAGACACGGGAAGTGAGCTCCACTGTGGCTATGTCCTCTGTAACCTTTGAAGAACAATCTTCCTTGTATTCTCCAAAGACTTTTAATGTTTTCTTCCCACAGTATATCTAATAAAGTCATGCCAAAAGCTTACAGTGTGAACTTATGCCCTACCAATGCCTGAGAAAAAGTATGGGCTAGAAAAAATGTTGGTATTTAAAAAGGCAGTGAGAGTATTTTCTTTGGCATCCTTAATCTGAGAAAGCATAGTTTTGATGCATTGTTGAAATGATTAACAGTTATTGAATGTTAGTAAATACCACATTATATATGCATTTTTAAAAATGACTCCTATTGGTTCTTATTGATTGGCATGGGATTCTCCATTGCTTCTTGTTAATCTTCTTCCTTGGTAATGTAAGTGTATATAGCTGTGGATTCTCCCCCATGGAATCCCTGTTAGTCTTCCTTAGCACTTGTGTGTCAGGTGTTCTACCACTGCTGTAAGTGAAGGTCCATGGGGGAATTCAAATTGAGATCGGTGACATCCAGGAAGTCAATGTTGAAGATGCTGGGGCCATTGGTGGCAAGCGAGCTAAAGCCTGGCGTGGAACTGGGTGGGGTGAGGTCCAGCCACTCCATGGTTTCCCAAGGAGACTCCGTGAAGCTTAATTGCAGCCCATTGCTGTCCACAGAAGAGGGTGAGAACTGTGTCTGCATTGGGGACAGGGGGCCTGGCAGGATCTCGTGTGTGTTGAAGATGTCTTCTGCCGCCTTCCCAGAAAAGCCATCTATAATCCCTTCGAAAGGAGGCTCCTCACCTCCAATTTTGAGAAGGGAAACATCGCTCACTTTTCCTAAGGGGCTGTGGGAATTTAACAAGACTTCCAAGTGCTCATCGCTGTCAGTGACATAGTGCTCAAAGGAGAGCTGGCCTCCAGAAGATGCTTGTTCAAAGGAAGCTGAGGGCTTGGGCAGGATGATGGTCGGGCTGCGAGAGGTCCCTGGTACCTTTGGGACTTTCTGAAGACAGGAATGATCTCCTCTGGCATCAGCTGGCATTTCTGTTGGCAAAACAAAATGCAAACTGCTAAATTATTTCAAACTAAGACTGCTACACAAGAGGAGTCTTTGGAGTGAGTGAGTTACACTTAGGCAGACACAGAAAGGGCCACGCTTCCCTGGTCATCGCTTATCACAGAGTTTCATTTCTCTTTATATCCCCAACTCTTTGAGCTCTTCAGGTCTCACCGAGACCTTTGTGCTCTGGAACTTCAGCTTTGTGATGACTAACTGTCTTCTCTGTTGATTCTTTTGCCTATTCCTACCTGCTGGCAGTTCCCAGAGCACATGGCAGTTTCCACTGTACTCTCCATGGGGGTCAGCAGGTAAGGGGTCAGATGATATCCTGCGGTTCTCTATGACTCTGCTCCTATGTATCACTTGCTGCTCCTCGGTGGTTCTGAGGGACGTATCCCTTGTCTACCTGTTTTCTCAGATCCAAACTTACGTTTCCTCTCTCAGCCCCCTGGCTCTTCTCTCTTTTCCCGCAGTGCCCTAGCAAAACTCCACACCTCAATCAACTATACCTCTGCTCTCTCTGAGTCTGATTGGAATTATCCGGACATTGAAAGGAAAATTCCACAACAAAGTTGACTGGCTCCACTTAGAGTTCATAATGTCAGCACCACTGCTGGCATTTTAACACTGCCTGACCATCCCGCTGTGCTTCTCTAGAAGCTCATTTATAATTATCTCACTTTTCACTGACTTTGCCACATAATTCAATTGTAAGAGGGCATCTGATGCTAATTTTTTTATTTTATCGTCATGAAAATTATACACCTGTATATAACTTAACATGTATCTCTCTTTTTCCTTCTTACACTGAAGGAACTGTCTATTCATTTGCGAGTGATCCATCTCCCTTTTATAAAAGCCACAAAGGTGAGAACTTTGTTCCAGCACTGAACCTATCATGTGTCTTTGAGTCCTTTGCTGTTTTCTCTGAAACTTAACATGGTGTGGCTTCCTTTAATACTCAGAACTTTTTATTCCAACATATCTGCCTTAGGTCCTCTTATTTATGTGTATATTTTCAAATTCTAGGCACATACTTCATAATTTTTAAAAATAAACAAAAGGATGAGTTGAAAACAGGCAAATGAACCTTTTCTACTGCTAATTTGAACAATATTTAAATATATGAGGACGATCTGCTGTAAGACTCAACTGAATTTTGAATAGGTAGCACAGAATTTTCATTAGCTGCTTGGTTCTTTTTTCTTGTAATGAACAAGACAGGGACATTGATGTAAAAACTATAGAAAGAATGATATAGCAGGGGAAACTATTTAGAGAAACAAGGATTGAGTTGAATGAAGTCTGCTAAAATTATTCAGTGACAAGTGTTTCTGGGATGAAGAATGACCTACAGGTGTCTTTTATCTGTTCCAAGTGTGTACATAGAGCTCAGAGGAAATGACCACCAGGAGACCCCTTGGTGTGCCGGCCTCAGAGTTCGTCTGACCGTGGTCCCAAGCATTAATTCCCCAGAGTGTGCACATGTGCAGAGGGTCCTGATGGACAGAGCTCCGGGCAGCCTTACCTCCGCTTTCAATGAGGACGTCCAGGAGTTCATCCATTTGCTGACTCCGAGTCATTTGCTGTTGCAAATTAACAAAAGAACAGCAGGCAAGTTAAAAAGTGGCTACTTCTTCTGGAAATAATTAGAAATAGCACTGTAGGTTTTTGAGCTAGGTTTGGTTGAACAGTTTTAAATAATTGCAAAATACATGTAACATAAAATAGAGCATTTTAACCCTTCTTTTTTTTAATTTAAAGGGAAAAACAAAACAAAACAAAACAGTAAAAGGCTATAAGTAATACAGAATTTCAAGAGAAAAAAATATACAGTAAGAAATCACTAGTTAATAGATTACATATTGTCATCTCAGAAACTGTTGTCCAAATTACAAAATTAAAGCATACAAAGTAGACATTAATACAGTGAGATTGCAGACAGTTCTGTTCAATGATCCAACAAAAACTCAGTAATATGTTTTTCTATCCTACACACTTAAATATACTTGCAGTTATATCCTTTAGATCACTTTCTTTCCTCTCTTTTTTATGATAACAATTACACATTTTGGGTTTTATTACTCCCATAGTTCTTATAACTTTTTCTTTGAAGAGGAAAAAACAAAAAAACAAAATAAAACAAAGCAAAACAGAACAAAAAAATCCCAATTTTTAACACTTCTTAAGTGTACAGTTCAGTGGCATTAAGCGCCCTCACACTTTTGTGATACCGCCTCGTCACTTTCTTCCTCCAGAGCGCTTCATCTTATGAAACTAAAATTCTATACCCATTTGGTGTAACTTTCCGAGTTATCCCTTCCCCAATTCCCAGCAGCCACCATTCTACCGTCTGTTACAGCGCGTGCTTCAATTTCTTTTTCTTAAAGAAAATTTTAATAGTATTACATTATGTGGGTCAACCACATTGTGTTTGTCTATTCATTTGTCAAGGACAAAGGCTGTTCTCATCTGCTGGCTATAATGAGTAATACTGTTAAGAACATGGATATAGGAGCTAAAGGTTTTCGAACTGTGTTTGATTAAACCTCAGTGTAAATTTTAATGGCATAATCCATTGAAAGAGAAGAAGACAGAGTGACTCCCAGCACAGAAGAGTAAGCTGGGATAAGTGGTTTCCATCCAAAGACAAAGCATCTTGCCATACAGAAAATACCCTTTCTCACTTTGACCTGAATCTATTTGGCTACTATGGAATTGGCCCAGGAACTTGGTTCATATTTCCTTGGTTACTCTTTGCAAAAGCTTGTGGAACCCTTGTAGACTCTCGAAGAGTATACCCTTTCCTCTCTGCTCATCTGGGGTACAGTCTTCTTTCTAGAAGTCCACATTGCCAGGAGTCTTTTCTTTCTTATTGACTATGAGGGTAGATGAAGAGGAAGAAAGAATTTCCCTTACAATTGCTGTCATATATCTGAGTATCTACTATGCGCCCCAGCAATGCCGTAGCATCAGACTATCTAAACTCATTACAAAGGTAGCAAAGATGTGTCCCCATACCCTTCTTCTGAGAGCCCAGAGCTAATGAATATACATGGGTATCAGTAATCAATACGGATGGGAACACTGCTCAAAGAAATAGTTATTTACCAGTCTAGAAGGCACTGTGTGCTCACAGGACTTGCCAGATAATGTCAAAGAGCCAGATATAGAAGGAGAGAGTAAAATGCAGAATGTATCTGTGTTCCAAAGCAGCAGTGTTGCTTTGCTTTAGGTAATTTCTAGTTCAGCTTGGTAGAGGAGTGGCTTTCGTGTTGCAGAACCCCTGTCTTTTTCAGAAATGATAGACGCCATTTTGCATAATATCTCCTGATCCTTAACGTACTTTCTATACCAGAGGAAACCTTACCACTGGCTGGTTTTGAATTTGGAATACCAACTGGTACGCAGCAACTGATTGGGATTTTCTTTTCTGGTTTGAGCACTGTGTAGGGCTACCTGACAGCAAAGCTCAGGCCATTTGGAATAGAGTCAAGGGATGAGTTTCCAATTCTACTGGAATACCAAACATCTTGGATGCTCAAATCCATTATATAAAATATAATCTATGCACATTCTCTTGTATGCATGCATGCATGCTTTAAATGATCTCTAGATTACTCATACAATGTAAATGCAATTTAAATAGTTGTTATGCTTCCTTGGAGTGGTCCGGTCCGTAACCTTTTTGGCACCAGGGACAGGTTTTCTGGAAGACAGCTTTATCATGGACAGGGGGAATCGATGGTTTCAGGATAATACAAACACATTACATTTATTGTTCACTTTATTTCTATTAATATTGTATTGTACACTTTGTTTCTGTTATTTGATTCTCATTAGGACTGGGCAACCTAGGTCCCTGCATGTACATTTCACAATAGGGTTCAAGCTTCCAGGAGACTCTAATGGCACCACTGATCTCACAGGAAGTAGAGCTTAGGCACTGATGTGAGCAATGGGAAGCAGCTGTAAATATAGAGAAGCTTTGCTGGTTTGCCTGCTGCAGTGTGGGTCAGGGGTTGAAGCACAGATGCAGTCCCATAGGCCACACACAGCACATGAGCCGGCGTGAGGCTAACAAAACTCAAATAAGGAGAGATGGAGAGAGACAGAAGACGTGGCAAATGGCAAAAGGCCGGTGTAGGATGAATGTCACTTCCTTCAGAGCGAGTCAGCATAGTGCTTAGCGTGCTGTGGATTTGAGCTTTGCTTTTTGGGAACTTTCAGGATTTTTTCTCTAATATGTTTCGTCCATGGCCAGTTAAATCCATGGACACTAAAGCTGACTCTATGATATCACTAACTGTTTTTTCTTTTTCTTACTTCTTCATTGAAGATATCCAAACAGAAATGAGACTAGAGCATGCAACAAATCTCCTGGGATTCACTACTGAGCTTCAGCAAGCATGAATATTTTTACAGGATCATTGAATTTTAAAGCTAGGAAGAATCTTGAAAAAAATTGTCCTGCTTTCACCTATTTGAATACCTATCATGTGCCCCCAAAACAGTAGTGTCCATGTAGAGTAAATATAGTGCCTGTTTTATAGAAGAGAAGCTGAGTATGCGCCCAATTCTAGTGACAAGGGCAGGTGACAGGTGGTAGAATGGTAAAGGCCAGGTGTCCTGAATGTCATCCCCGCCTCTCCTCTCCTCTCCTCTCCTCTCCTCTCCTCTCCTCTCCTCTCCTCTCCTCTCCGTATCACTTAGCTTCTACAGGTGCTCCTGGACTCATGATAGGATCATATCCAAATAAACACCCTATGAATTGACAATACCATAAATGGAAAATACATTTAATACACCTAAGCTACTAAGCATTTAGCTTTGCAACCAAACACACCAATCAGCACCAGCTGATTCTCCTTTGACTGCAGGGTTGACTGGGAGATACACTTACTGCCCTGCACTGAATTGGGACAAGATTGTACTACATAACACTAGCTTAGAAAAAGATCTAATTTGTAGTTCCAAGAACAGGTTTAGCTGAATGTGTATTGCTTCATAGAACAATATAGTAGAACAAGTTATAAGTTGAAGCACCCTAAATTGGTACCGTCTGTATACACAGTTACTGTGGAGATACTTTGCTCATTCTGTTGGTAAGGCCCTTGACAATATTAGAATTTGCAAAGTGTATGAATTTGGATAATATAAAACAATGTTCACTGAGTCCACATAGTTTTCTGTAAAGAAAAAAATTGCAATTACCTGTTTTACTGCATCTTCATAGGATGGAGGCTGTGTTACCTCTGAAACTGTTGAACTTGGTTTAGAAAAAGTTGGGGATGGAATTGAAAATTTTGGCCCCATCTTATCAGAAGAATGTAAACCAGCTATCTGTCATGTGGGTAAAACACAAAGAAAGCATTCAATGTCTAGACCCTAAGTGGCACTGAGTTTTTAAAGAATTTATAGGCTATATTCAGAAAATTGACCCCACGTAATCATAATGATTATATTAATAAACCAGTGTTGAGAAAATAAATAAAATATATTAACAATCATACATATCACTATGGATTTATGGCTTGTGGCATCTTAGAATGAGAACTTTACAGATTTATCTTTTCCTGTTGGGAGACGCTCCCTCTTAGGAGAAAACAAGATGATAAAAGGAAATAAAATTAGTCTAATCCAAAACAAATACTTTCATCAGTCCAGGAATTTCCAGAGTAATTCATTCCCTAGGTCATCATTTCATTTCAAATTGATTATATCTACAGAGTTGGAGGCATTTCTGGGCTCTCTGGCTCTGAACCCACTTTGTTTATTGCGTGTTTTCCTGTAGAGTGTCTGGCCCATGTTAGGATCTCTGTTCTTTCTCCGACTTGTGACATGTGGCTGCTTTATGTCATAGCTGTCTTATTTTTGTATCTTTCCTATCACTACCTCATTGTTCCTAAGAACTCCCTATATCCTGGACCTTCACATCCCTGATTTCTTACACCAGTTGAAAACATTCATCTCGTCCTTTTGCTTCAGATATAGGGCAGATCCAAACTTCCGCACTCTCCAGTCCTCTGCAAGAATCCCAGTAACTCTTTCTTCCCTGTGATGTCATTTTGTCATGTACCTCCCTTCCAATCTTTAACGTCACATAAATTGGTTTGCTGTACATGTTATTTTGCAAATATATCATGGTCATTTCAACCACCGTGATATCTGGGGTGACCCCCATAAAGGATTCCTGAGAATGTTTTCTAGCTCACATCTGTACATTCATTTCAAGGCATTCTAAGTGGATGTGTGCCTATCTGAAATAACGTGCTCTTCTTCCTCAATCTGAACCTAATCATTTGCACCTCAGAAAAAGGACCATTGGTGACAGGAGAGGTGCACTCTCAGGACAGTTTGAACTTTTGTTTTGGATACTTACCTTTGGCTGTACACCTGGGCTTTGGGGACATGGCTTGCCCCCAGCACCTTGATTGCTATCTGTCTGGGCTCCAGAGAAAGGGGTGTGGAGGCCAGAAGACTGGGGAGAGAAGTTTGGAGAATGGCTATCATGTGCTCCTGAATTCTGTAGATAGGAAGAAACAACTAGTTAAATGGCTAGTAGCATACCCACGGGTGGTTATTTCTGACACTTCCGGTCCTGCACTGTGACATCTGGAGCCCTATCTTTATAAAGTTGCCTAAATTCCATTACCAGATGAACTCACCTGAAACCCAGCTTTGTACATATCACCTACGGTTCACAAATGTCCAGTGGTTCTGATATGCACAGCATAAGAGCTCCACTTCCAACCTGGGGAGTGCTTTTGCAAGCCCAGATTCTGCCATTCCCACCACAAACAAGCTGCCCCATGTGCTCTACCTCACTGTCTTTGTAGGTATGAAATGTCTTTTGCTGGTTTCTCTTTCCATTTTAACCCTACCCTATCTGTAAAGTCTGACAAAACCTTTACAGAATCCTCCTGGACTTTTCTAACCATGTAATATCAGTTTGCCTACCTCCATGACCTCATACTTTGAGCAGCATTTAATGTCAGAGGCACAGGTAAGTCATGTTATCTATATTATTCTTTACCTTTTAATCATGAAATTTTAACGACTTTAAAGAGTTTCATAAACCATAAATCATCATAAAATGTGACTTCTGCATAACACCAGGATCATGAACATTGTATCCCGGGGCTATGTCTTAAGAGCTATTTTTACTTTGTTGCCCAGGACACAAGGCATTCAAAGTATATTAATGATAATAATTCATTCCTGTTCATATTACTTCTGCAGTGGCCCTCAGGAAGGATTATCAGTCATTTGAATGTATTGTTCTGGTAGATTGGTAAAAATGTATTCTCATTACCTTAGTTATACCTTGTATTTTCAGAGTTTCTATATTCAAAGTGAAAAAAATATGAACGTTAGGATCAAATAATGTGGGCTTTGTATGACCTTACACAGTGGGTTTAACCTGAATCTCATTTTACAATGAGCCCCATTTTTCTTAGGATTGTGGTGACAATGAGAGAGATTACTGACAGTTTGTGCCTGCTGGGCTCTTGATAGGCATGCAATCACTGTAGGAATTCTCCCTATGCCTTTTTTGATAAGACAGATTTCAAGACCTTTGGTAACATAATTTTATTCCTCAAATATACCTATCTAGACGCTTGTTTTTGTAAATTCTTCAGTTTCGTGGACAAAAGTCTTTGCTGGTTCTGTTAGTCTAATCTTTGAGTTACTCTTTCAAGCCATTTCCTGAACTTTTCTCCTGCCCCAGCAATGCTGGCCTTCTTTCTGACACTCAAATATTTCACGTACTCTACTCTGTCTTTGCTTCCGGTGCCTAAGTCCCAGTCATGACAAGATTTTCTCCTTTATCTCTTTCAAGGTTTTGTTTAAATGTCCCTGGTCTTTCAAGATTTGAGGTTGCAAATTTTTCCCACAAATACAAGCCCTTTTCTATTTTTCCACGTGATGCATCCTCTTCTACCACATTATATTAACAGAGAAACTTTTGTTCGGTTAGTTCGGCACTAATCCTTATTGGGTAGAACACAGCATGACACAACACAGGTGCTTAGTAAATACTATTGCATGAAGAAACAAATAAGCTCTGGTAACTTCCCTGGTGGGTTTCTTGAGACAGTGATCTGATATCAAGGAGTCCTGAAAGAAGTGGTCAGCAAACTATAGCTCACAAGTTTGCTCTCTGCCTGTTTTTGCTAATAAAATTTTATCAGAATCCCATGTTCATTTACCAGGCATCTGTGTTGCTTCTGCAAAGCTGAGTAGCTGTGACACAAACAGTACGAGCTACAAAGCCCAGAATATTTATCACGTGGTCCTTTCTAGAACAAGTTTGCCACCCGGTCCTAGGAGATCAGTGACTTTAGCAGACTTTAGCTGCCGGCCTTTCAGTAAGCTGTTCTCATTGTGTGTTTCAACACCAGCTCTTTAGTGGCTGGCAATCCACCCGTAAGGTGGACACGCTCGGTCTGGTGCAAGGTGCTCTTACCTGCGTGGCACACACCTGGCTGCTAGGTGAGGACACCTTGTGTCCCTCTCCCTGAGCCCCGGACGACAAGGGTAGGAAGTAATGGCTGTTGGGTGACGGGGGCAGACTGATGTGCTGTGGGCTCTTCACAGCTCCAAGTGGCGAGTGCTGCGGGGAGCACTGGGGGCTGAGAAACGTGGAAGAAAGTACATTGGTTTGACCAGAGGGCTCCACACAGTGGGCATTGCCGAGGGGCAGGAGGTGAGCAGCGTCGCAGGCCTGTGCTTGGCTCTCAGTGCTGTGGCTCTGGCCTTTGGCGTGCATCTCTTGTGAGGTGAACGGGCAGCTGGAGACAGCATCTTCTTGCTTAATGGGGGCAGCCAAGAAGGGCAGCGGCTTCTTCTCGGCACAGTGACCGCTCTTCTGTTTCTGGAGCTGCATCCTCAGCTCCTCCACCTGCCTCTGCTCTTGATGCAGCTTCCAGGTGAGCTCGTTGATCACCTTCTGCTTCTCCACCAGCATCTTGTCCTTCTCGGAGTCCAGCCCGTCCAGCTCGGAAGGACCCGAGCCCCCATTCAGGCTGCTCATGAGACTCTCCTCGGTGCAGACGTGCACTGGGGACGGATGCAGGCCAAAGGATGGGGATGCTTCGTTGAAGGTGTCAGGCAGGGACCCAGTCACTGACAGGTCCGACGAGGCAGGCGAGATTGGGGGGCTGGAGCTGGTGCTGCCGAAGTGGTACAAGCCATTGGATAAGGCGCTGGTGGAAGGGGGGGACTGGTAGCTGGACAGAGTGTTGGGGGTAACAGGAAAAGTGACCGTTGTGATGTCCCCGAAGTTGGGCACGGGATTGCCAGAACAGTCCTGGAAGGGTCGCAGCCTGTCCATGAGAGCCGTTTTGGTGCCAGACACGGGTAAGCCCCGTATTCGAAGCTGCTGTCTTAATTCAGAGACCTGAAGGAACCAGGATATTGTGCGTGAGTATTAAATGACAATCTTTTAAAATCTGTGATTTATTATTCAATTAACTTGAAATTATCACCCAAAGAAGTTTACAGTGCTCATTTCTCTATTTCTCCTTTTTTCCAGTTTTTCTTCTCCTAACCCTGAATCAGCTTTGCACAATTTCAATGATTCTTTTTTATTTTTATCCTATACGGATGCTCTTTGACTTACTGTGGGCTTGTGTTTGGATAAGCCCACGGAACACTGAGTGTATCCTAACTTGAAAAACAGGTCCCCCAGCATCCTAGTTTAGCATCTCATTATGCTGGAGAGCATCGGATTGTTTTTCCAGGCTCAGGGCTGACTGGGAGCTATGACCACCGCTGCCCCAAGAGAGAAGGTCAGACAGCATGGTGTCAGTGCAGAAGACGATCACAGTTCCAAACCTGAAATGTAATTTCTATGGACTGAGAATCATTTTCATTTCTCTTATAAAGCTGAGGCCAGTCAAGATGCCATTGTGTGTGGTGTGTGTGTGTGATCTGTACCATGCACACATGGCCTCAGGGTCACAGACATGTCACATGAAAGGAGAAAGTGTCTCATTTGCTGACCCCAAGCCCTGTCTTGGCCAGGCTTCTGCTCTTCTGACTGAGTTTAGACCCAAGCCCTCAGCAGTAGTCCTAAACACAGCAGAGCCTTGTAGAGTTTCTGGCCTCCAGGATGAAGGTTCCTCCCACCCTACCCGCTTTCTCAAAGCTGAGCGTGTGTCTGAAGGGTTGGGGCAGACACACTGCAGGCCCTGGCCTGGAGCAGAGCGCTGGAGTTTGAATTTCTAACAAGTTCTCAGGGAATGTAATGCTGCTGGTCCCTAGACAAGACTGAAAGTCACAGCTCCACATTGAAATTTGTCTTTATTGTAATGACTAGCTGAAGGACAGTTATATATTGATGAAGACTGGTGATAAGAGCTTTGGTCCAAGCCCAGTGAGGGGGCACATACCTATAATTCCAACACTTGGGAGGCTGAGGCAGGAGGATCACAGTGAGTTTGAGGCCAGCCTGGGCTACAAAGTGAGTTCAAAGCCAGCCTGAACCATATAGTGGAACTCTGCCTCAAAAAAAGACTTAAAAAAAAAAAAAAAAAAAAAGAGCTTTGGTTCCTTTGGCCCAAACTCTGGCCCTGTCTATTTCTGGTTTCAAAGGTCCTCTGTGTCTGTTCTGTGAAATACAATAATATTACCTACCCAGAAATATCTACGAAGATGTTAACAGTTTCATTACCTGTATTGTCTAAATGTTCCACATAAAAGCGTTGCTTTTATTGTTAAAATAGGAAATGTATTGAATAGCTAAGCAGGAATAATTGTATAAGACAGAGGAATATTTAGGAAAATATTTTCAGTTTTTTAAAGGTTTTTTTGAGTATAAAAGCAAATGAAATAGTAATAATATTGACAACCAAAATTGAAAACTTCTATAAGTTAAGAAACCAAAACGAACTGCAAATCCAAGGAATAATCTTGGGAAAAATAACTGCAGCACAAAAAATAAAGTGCTAAAAAGCTCAACCCATCAAGCTTGTTTAATAAAAAATATAAATAAATAAAGCAATAAAAAGACTGACATTCAATATAAGAATAAGTAAAAGATATGCTCTAGCTTTCCATGAGCAAAAAAACAAAAATGTTAAGTATTGCAAAGAGAAAGGTCTTTGTTATCATCCCACTCAAAATATGGTCCTGGGACCAGGTGTGTGAACAACATCTCAGAGCCAGTTAGAGATGCAGGATCTCTGGACCCCACACCTTCATCACGGGCCTGGGTGGGACTCACTGGGTGTCAGCCTGTGAGGGAGGACAGCTGCTATAGCCTGCTGCTTCCAGGAGCAGACTGAGAGAAAGTTGGGGGCAGGAAATTTGGTGAGATGCATCAAGGACTTTTTAAAATGCTAACATATTTTAGCTTGGGAATGTCATTCCTCTGTGGTTATCCTGGAGAAATAATCGGGGAGATTCATAAGTGCATGTACAAAGGTCACTGAACTCATATTTTGCCTAATAGAAATTTGGCAGCTAGCTAAATGTCCAACGGTGGAATGTTAACAAGGTGGTGGAGTGACAGGCTGCTATTAAAAATAAAACCTTTATTGAACATTAAAAGCCATGAAAATGTTCATGATGTGTTAAAGAAGAGAGCATGTCAGAAATTTACAGACACATCATTATTTAAAAGTAGTTATTGTGAAACAGTATATGTTCACATGCATTTAAATCTAGAAGGAAGTATAATCTGTCATACTTTCTATGACTCTTGTCTTTTAAAATATGTACTTTATTATAGTCTCATATTTTCAACTATGAAAATATGTTATTTTATAATGAGCTAAAAACCATCAGAAAAAGATTGTATCAACTTACACTGGCAATAAATATGCATTTCCTCTGTAGCCTTCCTGGGAATGTTTTACCTATTTTTTTTAAAGATATGATGGCTTCGAAAAGTATAAGATGACAACTCATTATTGTAATTTTGAATTACTTAAAATTAATGAGTTCCACATTTATTTTTAGAATCTGTTCCGGCACTGAATAATTTAAGTTACATTATTAAGTAATGCAGGTCATATTCTAAAATAAAATGTAAATTTAAGAATGTTATGCCATCTAGGCTTATATACATCTATCTGCTAAATCCAGTGATTTTTAAACATTTAAAACTTTTAAAATCATTTATTATAGATAAGCATATATAGAAAATTATAATGAGCTTCATATACTCATCCACCAACTTCAAGAATTATCAATCTATGCCCCAACTTGTATTTTTATGCCTTAACAAATTTCTTCTCTTACTTGTCCCAGATTATTTTGAAGGAAATCATATAATTTCAAATTTTAGGCATCTTTCCCTAAGGAAGAAGAACTCTTATAAAAGCATTTGTACAGTAGCGTTAACATACCTTTGAAAGTGAATGTGTGTTTCTTAATATCCATTAGATATTTTCCAAGTTTTCAGACTTTCCCTTCCCTCCCCTCTCTCTCATCCTGGCTCTGCAACTTTTTGACAAACAGGATGTAAAAAATAAATTCTACGGTGCTAAATCCATGAATAAATGTTTAATGAGAAATCGATCCCTTTTCCTTAATGTGATGAAAAATGCCTACTTCCGGGAAACATCACTTCCGTTCCCTTACCTTTGTGGTTACTTTTTTGGTGAAGTTTTTTTTCCCCACATTCCTCAGCTCCTTCCCCAAAGGCAGCAGCACATTGTTTCCTTTATTTTTATTTATTTAATTTGTAAACTATATTTTTTGCAATACTGCATATTCGACTCTGGATTTTGCACATGCTAGGCAAGTGCTCTATCACTGAGTTACATCCTGACAGTTTGAAAATTTTTACTTTGGGACAGTCTCACTAAATGACCAGTGCTAAGGCACTAATGGCTAGTGACCGTGTCACTAAATTGCCCAGGCTGGGCTTGAACTCCTTGATTTCCTAGTTTCCTAGTTTTAACTCTCTTGGTATTTATTTAGTCAGGTACAGGGGATCGAACTCACAACCTAGCACTTGCAAGTCAAGTGCTTATGCCATCAAGCTAAAACCCCCCACAGACTCTCTTGGTAATGCACACAGCAATTGTAAAGCTACTGTTGCATCCCTGACAACACAACTGGGCTGAACTAAATCATCATATTTCTTACAGGGAGACCCTGCCTAGATTTTTCTCCCAGTTCTCACGCTGTTAATAACCACTCAGCGATAACCCTTCAAACATGCTTCTTCTAACCTTCTCCCTGTGACTCTCCCAGGACCCAGGAAATGCCTGGTCCCTGACACTGCATGTCTCTCAGGACAATGTAAAGGACTTGAAATCAGTCACCTATGCTCAAGTTACACCTTTGCCATTTGTATAAGCCAGTTAACCTGCCTGTCATTTAACTTCTTTAAGACTCTGATTTTTGATTAAAAATCAAAACTGACCCGTATCTGGACTGTGCTTTCTCTGGGGGTGAAATTTCTCCAGTCACCCAACTCAGGGCCCCCATTCAGAGAGAGTCTGGTTTAAATTGTTTTATTGTAGTAAGATAAACACACCACAAATTTGACCATGTCTCTATGAATTCCCCTATTCTGGGCATCCCTTCTACATGGATGCGTATGGTATTTGTCCCTCTGAGTGGGACTTTTTCACATAGAATAATCCTGTTTTTATCTCTACGGCTTTATGATTTGGGGATTTAAAGGTGGATGACCCATAGTTCCATAGACCCATTCTCCTGGCAGTGGATGGGAAGGCTGAGGAGGAGGAAGGGCCACATGCTTGGCAGAATGAAGGCATAGGAACATTTAGCGATGTAGTTTTTGGGGAAAATTATAAGACAACTTGTGCAGAGTATCAGTAGGGGTAAAAACCATCTCAACAAGTGTAATTACTGAGAATGGACTGGAGATTGAATTGTAGTCACCCACTGCGGAAGTCCTTGTTGTGTTTTTCAGTTCTGCTCTGAGTCTTGGATAGATGGATGAATACGTTAGTCCTGAGGATTGTTTTGAGATACATCAGGTTCAACTCAAAGTTCAATGCCATTTTGAAAATCACACTCGTGAGTTCTGTGATTTGGCATAAGCTTCTGGAATGCATATGACACTTAAAAAGGTGCTGCTTTAGGACAGAAGTTCCCAGCTTTGAGAATGTGATAGAACAGAAAATTAATTTAAATTACATTAGTGACACTGGGTTACCAACATTTTACTTTGTCCGATAAGGACAAGGGTCATTATTGCATCCCAGGGAACAAATATAACCCCACCAAAACCACTAAACCATCTTCTACTTCTGTCATAATTTTAATACCAAAAATAACTTTTATAATTCAAAACCCTGTGAAGAAACGTATACTTTTAGCGAATATTAAGTACATGGAAGTACACCATTCCAGCTGACTACTAGAAGAATCCGCTTGTGCAAATGAGAAATCTAAAATGCCAAGACTCCCTGTCGCTAGGAGTCATGGCCCAGGAAAGTTGAGTTAGGGACCTGTAACTTTGTCCTCTGTGGGTAACTGTCCACTGCAGTCTCAATTCTGTGTCGGCCTTGAGACTTTCTCACACTTTTCTCTTATTTCTACTTGTTTTTTAATTCAAGAAATCAGGCGGCAAAGCCTCTGATAATAACACGTGGCTGTATCTTGTACCTTGAGATCATCCAGGTTGGGTGGGAGCGGGCCTGGTTTGAGAGAAGAGACACCAGTTTGTCCAGGAAAGCTGCTTTTGACGGGGGACAGAGGGGTGTTGCTCAGCGGTGTTGAAGCAGAGTTTGGATTTCTGGCCATTTGTTCACTTGGTTCTCTGAAAAACACAGAGACGCTTACAACACAATTGGACATGTAGGGGGCATCTTGCATCTGGATCAGATGGCAGAGTTAGCCTGCAAGGGTAAAGTGTGTGGAAAATCAGCCAAATGCAGCAGAGGGACCAGAAACCTGGATACATGACAGGTAGCAGAGATGCTCAGGGCTTGTTTAGGGAGATAGGAAGGAGTGAGCCTTTGGCTAAGGAGAGGACGTGTCCCTCTATAATTTAACGAGACATTCTTTGTTCTGGACTGGGGGGTGGTGGTGCCAAGCATGCCTTGTGAAGCAAGAGTCCATCCAGGATTCATCCTAGCTGTCAGCGTGACCCAAGGGTGGCCAGCCTCACATTAGAGAACCATTATTCCAACTTTAGAGGTGGGGATATTGTCCATTTAAAGGGGATAAACAATTCACGGTGTGATGTGTACACAGACCAACTCCCCAGGATGCATGTAATCATGACATACTGCAATGAAAGTGAAAATGTAAATGAAAAAAGAAGCCATGTGGAACACAGAGTCAATCTTGGGAGCTGTCACTCGGCAGTTTGGCTTGGTTGCTTCCCAAAGCAGAGTGTGTTCCATTCCAGCAATGCCTATATCGTGTTCTCAGATCTACAGTTTGGGCTGGAAATGCTGTATCCTGGACTCCCCCAAGGCATGCATTGACAGGATTTATCTCACTGTTAGGGTCTTGCAAAGGCATGCATGGTTTCTTTCTTCTTCTTTTTTTCAATCAGTACCAGGAATCGAACTCACGACCACGCGCTTGCAAGGCAGGCACTTATGCCGCTGAGCTAAATCCCCAGCCCCAGCATGCATGGTTCCTACATAGTTATACAGCAAACGTACCACAGGAGGATATGCTATACGGAACTGCTTGGTCCCCAGGTGTCAACCCCAGGAACTTCAGACAGAGGGAAGCCAGCCAGCCCCACCCCTGCCTCACCCACCGCCTCATTCTCCTGACTCACTTGAGCGCTTGGTGCATCCCTGGATAGCTGAACCGGTGCTGCTGCTGCTGGCTGAGGATCTGGAGCTGGAGGAAGAGCTGCTGTTGCTGGAGGAGCCTGGCATAGGCTGAGTCCATGGGCGGCGGGGACTTCTCGGCCTTCTGGTCTGGGGGAATGTACTGGTGATATTTGAGCTTCTTCACTTTGGGCTTGGGGTCCTTGGGTTTCTTGTGGCGGTTCTTACTGTCGCCCAAGGACTTGGACTGTATGGAGGATGAGGAAATAGCACGTGCTTTAGGTGGTAGAGCAGAACACTGGCACCATATTGTGGCAAGGTTTTTTCTAATGGACATCCTGGAATCCCAGAAATACAGTATTGCAAAGGCGAGATGCACAGAGCAACCGCATTAATGGCTCAGGCGAGCAAACCTGCTGTAAAAACATCGGCCTGGAAGGACACCACCTCGCTTGGGAATTTTAAATCTTAGAAGTTGCTCCTAGAGTTCTTCCTAACTGGAGTAAGATGTAAGCGACTTTCAGTGGGTGGATTCTCCTAAGCTAAAACTAACAGACAGCCTCACACTTCAATTTGCAGATCCTTCTAAGAGAGTTCTTTCTTATATATACATGTATTCACCTTTAAGTATGTAATAAACACACTCACTAAAGGCATAGGAAAGAAGCTATCATTATCTTTCAAAATGCAGAGTGTGGTTCTTTGTTACTTTATGTTAATAGTGAAACAGACCCGCTCCCAACGCTCTCCTGAGCCTGGTGAACTGTAGTATCTGCTCAGGAAGGGATATCCATTGAGATAATGATTCTTTACTTATTATAGGAAGAATTAGCTATCCACCAGAAGTTAGCCATTGGAGAGCGTGGTTTGGACACCGTAAAGGAAGTCAAGGGTTAGATTTGGAAGGTTGAGACAGATTGTTGACTGAAGTACAGTTCCTTAAGTTTACCACACCTCGATTTCATCACCGACCTGTTGGGGGAAATTATTACCTTCTTCTTCCTACTGCTGTGATTGACATAAAGACTACAAAAGGTAGCATTGAAATAATAGGTGCTCAATGAACAGAGTGATTCTACCCATAACCTGTTCCTGACATCAAAAGGCCTCCATATATTAGTAAACAACAGGTACATATAATTTTCAGTTAAATAAAATTTTAAGTCCTGCTGTTGGTATAGGAGGCTGTAATGGAGGACCCAAGAATCGCAAAAAAGATTTTTAGGGAGAAGAAAAATTAGAGACAGTGCGGTACCGGCAATGTCCAGGAGAGGGCGCGCCTGGATAGCTGGCAGGAGGTTCTGACTTGGCAGCCTCCCCATCTCGACCATGCAATGCACATCGGAACCTGACCCAGCGCATCCCACCACTGAAGCTGTTTGGTTTTCTCAAACAGTCGTCTTCCCAGAAACTAACGAGGAACGACTACCAGCATTGCTGCGTGCTCGGTGGCTCTATGTTTCCTTCCTTAGGACTCCATAGGCCTTCCCTTAATGAACCAGCCTTCTGGGCTCCCAACCCTCCGGCAACCACCCTGCCCTGCCTTGCTCTGGTTCAGCTGCTGTTCCTGCCTCATGCTAGGGTTTGCCTTGTCTTGGGGGAGGAGAGCTGCAGCCAGAGCTACGCAGCCAAGTTGGGGTGTCTAGGAGTTGGTTTTTGCTGCCTTAACCTGGGCACAAGGAGCATTCCAGGATGCACTGACACCAGACCACTTTCTCAGGACAGTGTACCAAAGATTAGTGAGCTTATAGATTCATTCCCTTTTTAATTCAGGGGATTCTATTGCTGTGCGTGTTTGTTTTTCTCTTTGCAGAGGCAGGAGAGCGTGTTTATGTCTCTGAAGATGAGGGGAGATGAACCTGCTACAGTGTTTAAAGAGCTGTGTGAACTGGGTCAGAGTAAAGCAAAGGGCTCGTGTGTGGCTCGTGGCTAGAAAGTGCAACTTCCTAAAGCCACACGGATTCAAACCTGCACCACACACATGCACAAACACACACACACACACACACACACATGCAGGCACGCACGCACGCACACACACACACACACACACACACACACACCTTTCCAAATAACACACCATGCCAGCAGCCTATAATTAATCTGCTAATTCTGTCTTGCACAAGGAAGCCTAAACTCTGCCAGGGAAGACAGTTCTCCTAAAGGCCCAAGTCTCTCCTTTCCTGCCTCTTTGCCCTGCAATTTCCTGCCTTCCACAACACCCTCCTCTGTTTGCCGTCTGAACCGGGTGCATCTTTCCAGGACTGCTTAGTGTCACCTTCTGGCCACAGCTCACTTGAGAACCCGCGCCTAGCCCACAGTGGTACGCCCAGCCTCGCTCCCACTATGGTACTTGGAGCCTGCCAGGGAATGGACGCATCAGTGTCAACCCCATGAAGGCACAAGGGAGCCTGAGATCCAGCCCCCGTTCTCCTCCCTGGACCCCTGGTCCTGATGGGGTCGCGGATGTCTGAGGAAGACACTCCTTTTTATTGTGGTAATGTACAAGTTATTGATGAAGGTCATCAACGCAATGAAATGGTATTTCATTGTGGCTTTAATTTTGATTTCCTTAATGACTAATGTTGAGAAGCTTTCCTGTGTTAGAAATTCATATCTCCCGGAAGAAGCATCTATCAGATTCCTTGGGGCATGTCTTTCTAACTTGGAAAACCACCGTTGGGGTTCACTTTAGCCCTGCTAAGCAAACTGGATGGTGGTCTCCTTGAGTGGAAGAATCATCTTTTATAAGAGTATTCTCTGAGACATTGGAGAAGATTTTTCTCTTACATAGACATTTTATATTCCCCGAAGAAAGTGATTGCATGTATTTTCTCACTTGTTCTCACACAATGTTACCAAGTCAAAAGAGTAGAGATATTTTACGTTAGCTTGGTTGCTTCCTTGGACAAACCCTCTAGTATCTTCTTAAGTGATGACTTTTTAACAACAAAGATACTCAGGCATTGATCGAGAACATATGTATTCTGCCGGGCCAGCTGAGGTGGGGGTGGTATCAATGCCATCCTGTCCTCTCTGTGGATTCCTTGTCATATCTTATTTAGTACAGGAAGGCTGACATTAGCTTTGCTAATTCGAGGCATGTAAAGTTTAAATATTCTCATAAAAAGTTAATAAAATTTCTCTTATATACAGCAATAAAGAAATAAAGTGAGTCAACTTTTCTTCCCTCCCCCGAAATACACAAAAGCCCTCAGAAGCTCTCTCATTTCAAAGCTGCTGAACAGAGTGAATTGTAAGCTGAGCTCTTGTGATTGTGGTTTGCTGGGAGAAATTTATTGGGAAACTGACATACTTACACCCATTCAGAATATAAAACTGTTAGCGTATCATTGATTGCTGCTATAATTTATAAGCTTTTTTGCTTTATCCTTTTATTAAAATCCCTTATGAGTCAGCACAACCTGCACTCAATGATTCCCCCTAGAGCTAAGAAAAATCACTCCCAAATGAAGTAGAGTTTAGCATAAACTGTGAGGGCCAGATGACTACCAGACAGCTAGTTGAAGCAAGAGCTGTTTCATAATTTTTTAGATATAATGCTGAGAAAATGAGAAATACGATTAAGCTATTGGTCTACTGTGAACATAAACCCTCTTTGCTTGTGTTTATTTCCTTAGGAAGTCTGGCTTGAAGGATACAACTTCAACATCATGTAAGATTTTGGGGGCTGTGGTCATTACATAAAATTCAGTTACCCTATACGACTCTTCCAGCATTTGTGAATTCTGTGTGTTACAATCAGCCGTGTCTATCTCAGACGTAAACTCCTGAACTTTTTGAGTCAGGAACAAAGGAACACAACAAAGAAATGCAACACGACACACAGGCTTTCCTGCTCCACAGAAATGCACGCCGTGCTGCGTGGTTTAGCAGGACCTTGGTTCATGCCCATGGATGGTCTGTCCAATCAGTTTTCACTTTGGGACTTTTCTACGGGATTGAATGTACACATGGGTTCGTGCAACTCCTCACATCATCAGAACTGACTGGGAGAGCTCTGCTTCAAGCTGGCTCTCAGGCCAGGGGCCCAGACAGGAGTTTGAGTCCCGTGCCTCCATACCTTCACGGCAGCATGCACCGGCAGAGAGGCACCAAGGGGACCGAGGCTCTGCTTCCCTGTGTCTGACTGGTGGCCAGGCTGAGAGGCTGAGTCATTCTTGTCATTTTCTGAGCCAGAAGCAAGATCCTGAAATCCAAATTGTAGTATCATTAAGATATAGGAATTAAATCTGTGGATACAGAGATGTTAAAGTGGAGCCCTTCCACATCGCTTTGATGGTGGCATCCCAGCTCTCCACACATGTCTACTCATCCCAGGAGGATGATACCAAACTTTTGAGACAAGATCTTGCTACATTGCTTAGTTGCCTAGGGTGGTCTTGAACTCATGATCCTCCTGTCTCAGCCTCCCAAATAGCTGGGATTACAGGCATGCACCACCCAACCCTTTATTCTTAATGATTCTTAATAGTGAACGACTGGCCTGATCTGGGATACCTTATTATCCTTTTGAAAGGTTTTACCTGTCTGTGACAAGGTGCGCCTGCTGGACATAATGAGACTGACAAAGAAATAGGGAAGAACAGATATAGGACTTTAAAGAAAAAAATAGAATAATAAGCAAAGTAGAAGAACACAGGTTAATAATCGGAGGGAAAGCATTTATGTGTGTGCATATGTGTGTGTGTGTGGGCTCATGTCTGTGTAGGTATATGTATATGTGTACACGTGTATGAATATCTAAGTCTGCACATGTATGTGCATGATTATACACACATTTGTATATGTGGATGTATAGATGTATGTGTGTATATATGTCCATGTGTATCTGTGCATATGTATATAATATATATGTTTTTCTGTGTATATGTACATGTTGGCAATTGGCATTTGTTGTGTATGTATATGAGTAGGTATAATCTTCTAAGTGTATGTATTTGTGTGTTTCTATATATGTATATGTGTATTGGGTATATTTATAAATATCTACATATTTTGCATATATATATATGCCCATGTCTCCATGTACATGGATATATATGTGCAGATAAGAGTATTTTTATGTATGAGCAAGTATGAATATATATATGTGTGTACAGGGGTAAATACATTTGTGTGTGTGTGTGTGTATGTGTGTGTTTGCTATAGGTGTATATTCCTATATTATTTACAAGCATGTCTGTGTGTGTGTGTGTGTCTCCGTGCATATGTGAAGGACCATGCAAACCTTTCTAAGTGGGATATTTCTGCCTGACGAAGACTCCAAACAAGGAATAATGATCTTCCCTTCCCTTCCCACATTCCTATGCTGTGAGTCTGACAGCCAGAGGCAGGGGCTGCTCAGGATCTCCCCCTGGAGCTCAGGACCGAGGTTCTCAGGTTTTCCCTGAGCCCCGGCACCTGTCACAGGTCTGTGGGATTCTTTCCTGTCAGAATCTCAGGGTCCTCCTCTGTCAGACACCGTTGCGGAGCAAAACGACATAAAATGATCTTTGTGTTTTTCCCAGTATTGTGCGGTGTTCACTCCCTTCTCACAGCACTAAGTAGAAAAGAACTCATTGTCCCTTTAAACCGTTTTAAAATCAGAAGCTGAAGAATTTACTGTCAGAATAATACGTGCAAATGGTCTGATAGACTGTTTGATGCTATCAAAGAAGTTGGCTGCAAAGACCAGCTGCGGTATTTAGTGAAAGGAAAAATGCTTTGATTTTAAACTCTTGCACAATAAATGCCTCTTATGTCTCCCCTTTCCCTCCCATTATACATCTTTTTCTTGGCAGCTTTAAGTTTGTTCTGATGGAGTAAAGGTAGGGATGACAATGACCAGTAACTAGCCTGGTTTCGGGAAACGGGCTCTGGATAATGAATGTTGTAATGATCTCTGATATCTGCATGGTGCTTTTCAGCGAGGGGAGGGGATTAAATGCAGCCTGGGCACTCTCAACCCAAAATTCCAAAATCTGAGATGCTCTGATATCTGAAACTTTTTGACATTATACAAATGATGCACACGTATAAAACTCTATACAATAAACTTTTTAAGGTGTTAAGGTCTAAAATTACCTTAAGACTATGTGTATGAAGTATATAGGATATAGATGAATTTTGTGTTCAGACTTGGGTCCCATTCCCAAAGTAACTCATGTATATATACAAATATTCTCAAAACTGAAAACATTTCCAAATTAGAAACCCTCCTGGTCCAAGCATTTTGGAGAAGGGTTGCACAACAGTAAGTTCTTCTGATGAGGGTTTAGTACCAAGAAGAGCTGGTACATGGTACGTGTTGGAAAGAGCGCAGGACACATTTCCACATGTTGTGTCCACTGTAATAGATTTCCCATCTTCTCATGTAAGGCTGCGCCCCACAACATCTTCTTTTAGGGGCCTCATGGATACCATTATGCTAAACTGAGGAAAATTCTCATCAAGTCTGTAGGGAGATCTTGGAGGTCGACTCTCCAGATATTATGGGTATTCTGCCATGATCCTGCAAATCACACTGCTACTCAACCTCACGGAGCTTTGTCAGAATGGACACAGATGATCCCAACTTAGAGGAAACGGGGATATCACATGAGGAGATGTTTGTAAAGTGCCTGCACTGCCTCTGGCCAGAGTGAGTGTCCTGGGGGTTGCTGTTGTTTATATTCAACACTGTTCTTTATAAATGTGCTGTGGCATTATTTTCAATGTATGTTCCAATTTATGTTCAATATGCAATAGAAGTGTACACTTAAATACACACTGAACATTTGCGGAATTGTCCAGAGAGGTGGCAGCTATGCTTGGATGAGAGGTGGACGTTGATTTTGTAGTGGGTTAAATGGACAGGACACCCTGCTTTGTATAACCAGCGTTTCCTTCTCCTTATTACCTGAAAACCTTAGAATGACACCATAGTATAGGAAAACTGTGGATTTTAAAATCAGTCCTGCTCCAGCATGTCAAGCCAGGACATTGGTGGTGAATTAACCAATCTTACAGAGCTTCAGTTACCCCATCCATAAAAATGGACATAAAAGGCATCTACTTGGCAGGGTAGATACTAGAAAGATAAATCAAAAGGCATAGTTCTGAGAGTTCTCTTTCTGTGTTTTTTGGAGGTTTTTGTTATGACACACAGATTCCCTGGCTGAACAGAGTAAGAAAAGACATTAAGATGATGTGTCAACAAGACACAGCTCTGGTCTCAGCTCTCTTGGAGAAGGAGACAGAAGGGTCACAAGTTTAGTTCAAGTCCAGCTTGGGTAACTCAGCAACTTAGTAAGGCTCTGTTTCAAAATTATAAAAGAAAGAGCTGGGGTGCAGCTCTGTATGAAGGTGCTGGGTTCAATCCCTAGTATGGAAAACAGAGGAAAGAGAGAGAGACACAAGGAGAGACAGACAGACAGACAGATGAGAAACTCTGGGGTATCTGAGCAAAACCCACTGTAATAACGTTAATGTTAAGACTATAAAGAGATGCCAAGACTTTTTTGTACCTGATTTGTCCCCAGAGAGCCTGCCACAGAGGCTTCCGTGGCTTTAGCGTCTGGAGGTGATCCCACCGAACTGTGAGGGTCTTCGCTTCGTGCCTGATCTGGGGAAAGCCCATCGCTGCTACTGTCCTCTTCAAAGGCGAATGCATCCGCAGACTTGGAGAAACTCACCTGGTTGCCTGGGGAAGGGAAATTGGAGACCTGCATCAGTGGTTTAGGTGGGGCGGAAGGGCTGTTTTAGAGAGGCTTCTATGCCTAACCCCTGGGAGGAGCTCACATGTCTCTTTCCAGATTGACTTTAACTACAGGCAGGAGGGAAGGTATATTTTAAATTATTAGGCTCCCCATATGAAAACTTGTGTTTAGAAATGTGGTCTGCTTGGCAGGGAAAGGTGAGTGATGAACGGAAGGCTGCCCACCATTGGGGAAACTTTATTGTGAGGCATCTGCATTTCTCCCTGTGTTTCTTCCCACAGCTCTATGAGACCAGATTGGGGAAGGTGAAGGAGAGAGAGAGAGAGAGAGAGAGAGAGAGAGAGAGAGAGAGAAAGAGAGAGAGAGAGAACAAAGTGGATAAAGATGCACAAAGAGGGCGGAGGAAATGACCGCCATTCCCCCCCAGGTTTGCAAATGACAGCTAGAACTGAGCTGACAGCATGCTATTTCCATTATCTTCAAACATAAAGCAGGACACACAGCACAAAATGTTTAGCTTTGGTAATAAGGATAAGCCCAGCCAGCTGCTAAGTTTAAATTCCTAAACATCAGAACCAGTGAATGTGACCATAATGTCCCCAAAGCACCATTCAACAAAATCCTGCTTATAAGAGCTAGAAATGTGTGTCAGAAACTTCACATTGATTCTTATTTTTTGTTATTTAGATTTTCTTCTAATGCGTCATACATTTATTTCTATTTTTCAAGTCCTTGATGGCTCCCACAGAGCAAATCTTCCTCACTTTCTTGCATAGTCTTTGTAGGGCAGTGGAAGAATTGTCTTGGGGACGGAGGTTATCAGAGCAGATGGGACCATTGTGACATCCTTATAAGTCCCTTATGTTCTGTATTGCCAACTTTCCTCTGTTTTACTGTCCAACTGCACAGTACACACTGTGCTGAAGCCACACGGCTCTCTTGATCCCATTCCAAGCACTACTCTTTGAAAGGAATTTAGGTATTATCAGGAACTTTTCCAGCCCGGTATTTGACAATCACACTCACAAGAACTTTTGACTCTTTGCTCGGTGTAGATAAGAGAAAGGAGCTCTCACCATGGTAACGGCAAAGTCCACGAGGAGCTGGAAGTCATGGAACAAATGTAACACTGGGCCTGTCATCGCTGCCACTGCTGGCATCTGTCACGGACCCTTGTGCAGACACCCAAGTGGCCAATCGGGAAGGAGGCAGACAAGGACATGGCAAGTGGAAATACAATCGTTGGCCCCATGGACAGTCCACTAACCTGGGAGGGTTTGGACACCAGCCTTTAGTTCCACAGATCCTTCAGAAAAGTCACGATCGCTTTTCTATGATTATAAGACTAATTATGCTTGTCCTAACCTCTCCATCACACATAAAACTTTATGTACATAATATATCTTCTAATAATCATTTGTTGACTCTTGTAGATTTAGCTTTATGCCTATAACAAGACACACATTGTCCACATTTATAGTCTGGAGTGAACTGTACAGCTCAGGACTTAGCTTGGTAGTAGAGTGCAGGTCTGAAGCTCTGTGTTTAATCGCTAGCACCAGAAAGAGAAAAGAAAAAAGAAAAGAAGAGAAAAAATTGACAAGGAAAAGGCTACTTTTTTCACTCTGTCGTAATTCTTGAAGATCTTTGCATGTGAGAACAGTGAGTGATCTTCCTCATTTACAAAGAATAGTTGCCCAGTATCCCACTGTACTAAAGGGAACTTAATATTTTTAATTTACCCTTGCAGACTTTCTTTTCTTATTTTATTTTAAAGAGATTAAGACAAAGGAGGACAGAACAAAGCAGATCAGAACAGAACAATGTAAGCAACACAGCACTTCACAACAAGACAACTGGATATTAACAGTAGCTACCATAATGTCTCTTTCTTTGAGATAGTTGAGCATACCTTCACATAAAATAGTATCAAACATAACAAAATAGTATAAAACCATTCAAGAGAATGAAAGTATTACAGGGCATTCAGAACCAAATAACAGGAAACAAACAAGGGCTACTATATTATCTCATTTTCCATAAAAAATTTGTTCATGCTACCACACATATTAAAATCCAATATGATACAACATGATAGAATCAATGGAAACAGAAGAACAAAAGCATGGTAGGACTTCAAAGTAAGATGATATTATATCAGCATCTTGATTGTAAAAGAATTTAAAATAATAGTTGAGGATAGAGAATAGAAACATCTATTTATATAAAACTTGAAATAAAAAGAAGCATTTTCTCACAGTTGTCAATCTAATATGAAAGTTATTCATATTAGAACAAGGAGATTTCATTGGATATTTCATAGATGCTAATATTTCCTGGAGATAATGTCTCTTCTTCGTTTGTACTCTGGTCTGAAATGCCTTTCCCTCTACTCTAAGAGTCCAGTCAGGGAATACTATTCTTTTTCCATTTTCTCCTAATTAAATCTAGGCTCTGTATGTCACTTTTTGTGTCATGTGAATGATCTATGCAGCATTTTCCTTTTGAAGATAATTTGCTTAAAATTACCTTCGAAAGGCCCTTCGAATTGCTCCCATAAATATACGTCAACTCAAACGAGAAATCTCTTCCTCAGAAACTATCTTTTCTTTAATAATTTAAATCCTCATTTGCTTGCAGGATTAAAGTCTTTGTTCTTTAAAAGGATGACATGTGGGATTGAGGATCAGGAAGGCATGGGATACACGGATGGGTGGTAAGCACCTCACTGAGATCTACTTGGCTTGTGCTTTGAGCTAACACTGTTCACAGCTGCAGAGAATCCTGAGTGTGATCCTGTTTGCCTTCTAGGTAACCCAACAGGACATGGCCTGAGAGCTTCGCTGTCCTGAATCCCTTCCCACTTCTTTCCATGGAAGTGGGGCGGGTCTTCTCTGTGTGCTCTGATGCTGTGTTTGTAGAAGACTGTCACCCAACTCCAACAAAACATCACATCCCAAATGTGTTCAAATTTGCAGAATAAACCAAATGGCCAGTTTGTTCTGTATTCTAACACATGGGCAGAAATGTTCAACAAAGTGGAGAGGGAATGATTTCTCCTCCTATTTCCCAACAAATGTACTTTAATGGTGTTAATGAAGAGAGAGAACAAATGATCAAATAACAGGTTGCCTCAGGAGTTTAACCTAATAGTAGCATTAAAAGCAAAACAGTCAACTTTTGTAGGATGTAGGACTAGTTTAGGAAGCTAGAGAAGAGGCAAATTCTCTCTTCTCTGTTGTGTAGACAAGGCCATTGCAAGGTCCATTCTTCCTAGCTCTGGAGGAACTTAACTGACACTAAGTTCTTGGCCTTTGATGGTTCTGAATTTAGTACCACTCTGCAGAGGCCACCTCCCTGCATGCCTTAAGGTAGAGCCATCTGTTGCCCTGGAAACACTGATTCCCCTCTTGGTTGACTGGGGACCAGGGAGGGCAGGAGAATCAGAGAAAATGACCTTTGTATGCGCACATCATGTGCTTAGGACATCTCCATAGGTCCTTTCCTTTTGGATTCAGGAGACAGAATATGACAGCGTGATGGCAGGAGCAAATAAGGCAGAAGAACCTCGAGAAAGAACTGAAGGGCTGTGGAACCCTGCAGTTGCGCACAGTACCTTAGTATGGTCTTTCTACTCTGACTCCTGGCCAGTGTTGACCTCTGGTTGAGGTCCTAGAAAGTTGTGAAATGGTCTGGAAGCATAGTGTGTTAGTTCCTTTTTACTCATTGCTGAGACAAAATACCTGAAGCCCAAGTTGGGAAAGGAAAGGTTTATTTTTTACAGTTTTTGGAGGTTTCAGTCCACACTCAGTTGGCTCCAAGGCAGGTAGGCATGGCTGGGCTGCAGTTCATGGCAGCTGCACAAAGCAAGCAGGAACCAGCAAAGAGCAAGACACACCTTCTTCCTGCCATTACATCACATCCTGGCTCCACCCCTTTGTGGGAGGAGCACTGACACCATCAATCCAAGCACTAGACAATGAACCAATCACAGATGCACAATGCAAACTCATGAGGCCTGGGGGCCACAGACATAAACCATGACTTATAGTATTTCAAATAATGGAATAAATGTATGGCATATGAAAATGTTGCACAATTTTATACGAAGGACTTGAGTGTCTGTGGTATTTGGGTGAGGAGGTCTTGGAACTGATCTCCAGCTAGTACTGAGGGGGAGGTAAAATCAGTTCCATTTTCTCCAGAGCTTAAGAGGATGTGCATCAATTATTTCATTCATTGGCAGCCTTCAGACTTTAAAAGCAGAGATAAGCTGAAGCATAATCAGATAAGACCCAGTGAGGAGAAGAGATTGAAGGCAGGAGAAAGAGGTTATCACTGTATCTCCTTTGGATGCAATCAGAGACTCTGTGAAGAGTGCACTGCCAGAGGAATGCTGGCAGTGGACAGGCAGAGGAGGCAGTGAGTTGTTCAAGAGTCTCCTGGAGAAGGTGGGATTGAGGGGAGCCTGAATAACAATCAGTCATGGACAGGGCAGCGGAAAGGGACGGAAGGGCTGTGATGGTGATGGGGAGCGTGATAGAGAGAAAATAAAGTTGTATGTTGCAGATTTGGGGTGGGCAGAGCGAGGAAGAAAGTCTCCCATCCAGGGGAAAGAATTATGCTAAGAACCAATCCCCAGAGAGATGTAGCCTCAAGGCCCACTTTATCAAATGACATCAATCATTCAAAGTGGCTCTCTGGATTAAATCAATGTAGTGAGGAAGGCATGAGAATGTACAATCGAAGACAAGGTAGCATTCTATACCCAATGCACAAACGTGATGATCGCCAGGACTCCATATACAACCCCTGTGAAAGATCTAGAAAGTATCCAGAGTGAAAAGGCCAGCTGGGATGCAGTTTATTCTGTGGTCAGCTTTGCAAAGGTCAGAATATGCTGGTAGATATATACTGAGGCCCACAGCATGGACCTTGACAATCCCCACTCCTGGCAGGGTTGGGAGTTGTTTGCCACTGCCAG